ACACACACACACACACACACACACACACAAATAAATGTAATAAAAAAATTTGAAGGCCTGCCGTTTTTCCTTTTAAATATCTATAGAAATCATCATTTATCCTACTTCTCCAAAATGTCACCTCCACCCCCGCCCCCACTGGGTTATAACAGGAGTCTTTCCTAGTGGGTTTTTCTGCTTTTAGTCTTTCATACTTCAATTCATCCTATATATAACTATCATATTATTTCCAAGATCCTCTTTTATATGTCACCCACCTGATTCAAGAAGCTTTTAATCTCACTTATACAAAGCTCACCCCTTCTGACCTGGCCTCCACTTTCCATCTACAACTCCTATGATGAACACTGATCTAGCACTCTTCCATACAGCCTCTCAGTCCACGTCACTCTCCTACTTCTATGGCTTTGCTTATATTTTCTACCCCTCATCCAAAGTTCCTTACTGACCTCATCTTCCTATCTAACAACTCTATTAATCATTCAACATCTAAGTCAAGATCATATGATATCTGCTACAAAATCTACAAGCCATAATGATTTATTCCTTAAACTCTTTTCCTTCATGAAAACATACCAGTCCCTGACACATCATGAAACATACCAATCTCTGTGTGTCCAACTAGACCACAGTCACTTGAGGCAGGGGCTCGCTCTTTGTATCTCCTGCACCTTCATTGACCTGACCATTTATTTGGTGCTCAGTCAAGTAATACATTCTGGTCAGCTGATTTACTGACTAGAAAATAATGTTTTTTTCTAGGCTATTTACACTATCCAAAGGGAGTTATCATGAACCTGAGAAAATGAAACAGAATGTCATTTAGCAGCTCCTAAGGCAAATTTCTTCCCTACTCAAGGCTCAATGGAAACAACATGGTTTTTAAACTAGACAGATTCTCTCTTCCTGCTGAGGGAGAAGCCCTGGACCAGGAATAACACAGATCAAACTTGCTTCCAGGGCAATGTAACCTACTGCTATGTCCACCTAATACACCTACCTTCAATTCATTTTGGAGGACTATTTCCTTCAGATTTTCATCCTTTTCATCACTTAATGAACTGAAGTTCCTCTGCACAAAGAAAGGGAAATGAGTTTTAATGCTTTCTTTCTTTTTTTTTTTTTTGGTCTTTTTTTTTGAGACAGAGTCTCCCAGTAGCTCCAGCTGTCCTGGAACTCACTATGTAGACCAGGCTGGCCTTGAACGCACAGAGATCCGCCTGCCTCTGCCTCCTGAGGGCTGGAATTAAAGGCGTGCACCACTGAGGGCTGGAATTAAAAGCGTGCATAGTTTTAATGTTTTCTTAGTGTGAACTACAAGAAAGGTACTTGAAAAAAAAGATAAGATATAGATAAAGGGAAGACTTCATTATTAGACTCAGAAATAAGGCAGGAGCCTAAGGGCTCATATTAAAGAAGGACAACTGAAAGAAATTTCCCTCTTGGACCCAGTTACTAATATCTGCCTATACAGAGAGGGAGGACCACCAAGGTAAATATCCCCCAGAGGAGAGACGATACAGGGAGAGGGCATCTAGCCATCCGTGCTGTGCAGAAGAAAAGGTACTCAAGAGAAGAGATCACCATTGAAATGTGGAAGAGTCCTGCCTGCATACCAGCTCAAAGCTCAGCAGCATAGCTTTCAGTCTCTCAATCTCCTCTCTGAGTTCTCTGATGAGCTTCACATTTGCATCCTGAAACAGAGAACTGAGTCACCACTGGCTCGTACCAGATCCTAAACAGCTATGAAGTGCCATCTGCATTTGCCTGAAAGAAGAGTACTGTTACTTTGGGGTAACTTAGGAACAGTTTCTCTCAAAGTATAATCCCAAGATCAGCAGTATCAACTTCATCTAAGAACTTGCTACAAAGGCAAAATTCTAGCCCCACCCTAAGATAGCAACTGTTGAAGACTGAGGCTCAACTGAATTTTAAACCCTTCAGGTGATTCTTGTACATACTAACTTTGAAAATCATCACCATAGAGCAGGTCAGAAAGGTAACATAAATACCAGTGCATTCAAAAGTAGGAAGTACTAATCTTCCTGCACTGTGACTAAACTTGATAGAGGCCTAATTACACTGTGTTTGAAAATAGTCCCTAGATGGGCTATATGTATCTGTTGACCAGCTGTGATCCCTGCTGTGGAACTTTTCACTGAAACTGCAAAGGTTAAGAAACATCTTGAAAGGCCGGGCGTGGTGGCGCACGCCTTTAGTCCCAGCACTTGGGAGGCAGAGGCAGGCGGATCTCTGTGAGTTCAAGGCCAGCCTGGCCTACATAGTGAGTTCCAGCTGGGGCTACAGAGAGACCCTGCCTCAAAAAGACAAAAAAAAAAAAAAAAAAAGAAACATCTTGAATGTTCTCATTTGGCTTCAAAACCATGAATTCCTATTACTCTCATTTTAATCCAAAACAGAGAAGTCACTGCAATTTATATACTAAAACTCAACACAATATCAATTCAAAATAAAAGCATTAAACACAGAAACTTATAAATGGCTAACCTACGCTGGGCATGGTGGCACAGGTCTTTAATCTCACCACTTGGGAGGCAAAGGCAGGTGGATCTCTGTGAGGTCAAAGCCAGTAAGGGCTACACAGTGAGGCCTGTCTCAAAAAAAAAAAAGGCCTTATTTGGAGTGGCAATCATATACCAAGGATCTTAAGAGGAATAACCTTTAAAAAACACATAAAGGGGGCTGGAGAGATGGCTCAACAGTTAAGAACACTGACTGTTCTTGCAGAAGACTCAGTTTCGAATCCCAGCACCCACATGGCAGCTAACAACTGTCCATAACTCCAGTTCCAGGGGATCGAAAGCCTCTTCTGTCCTCTATAGGCATTGCATGACATGGATGCACTTACCTACATGTAACTCCAGTTCCAGGGGATCCAACAGCCTCTTCTGTCTTCCGCGGGCATTGCATGACACAGGTGTGCTTACCTATATGCAGGCAATATACACCTACACATAAAATAAAAATAATAAATAAAATTTATTTTAAAAATTGTAAAAAACACCTAAAGGAAGTTATTCATAAAATTATTTGCTGAGAACAGTAGATATATCAGAAGGGTATGGCATTACGTTAAGAGAAAGAATTTCGCTTTCTTATCATTTGGAGAACATCATTGGCAAATTGCAATGAGAACACGAGAAAAAAATTAGGAGCACTTCAAACTATATCAGACCAGGACTTTCAATGAAGGTCTCACCTCATTTACCCGTGGCTTGTTCATAATGTTTTTGGCATTGGATGCATATCTCAGTGTGTTCATGGTCTCGCTGTAGCTAGTATGTGCAGGAGACACAGCTGAGGAAGAAGGAGAAAGCTGAAAGAGTCAGCTAAGCCCTTCCAACCCAGCACCCAACCACTCGTCTTGCTGCTAATACCCACACAGCATAAGACACTCTTGAGGGAATGAAGAACGTAAGTGGTCAGTACATTTTCTAGGCAAAATACTAGTTCTATATTGAAGCAGCTTCAGTATCCCACTTACTGGCAACCATGATAGTTTTGGAGTTGCCTCCAAGGCTGTCCTTCAGCAGCCAAGTCAACACAGAGTCCCGATATGGGATGTAAGACTGCCTCCGGGAAGGTCCCTCTCCACTGCTGGTCCCAGAAGCCGTGCTAGGAATCCCACTGTCGCCACCACTGCTGGCTGTACTACTGAGGCTCTGGCAGCTACTAAACACTCGGGAGTTCTGGGCTTAGTAGATAAAATATAAAGGTAGAATGCAGAGAAATGATGAAAAAATACATTAAAACAAAACAATAATTGGAGATTAAATATCACACTTCTTTTCTGCACATGACAGGAGGTTTAAGTTTGGGCTTGTATATCAGGCTTTGAACTCAGGATATGGACTGTTTTGAAATGATAACACTAGTGATATTCTAAAACCACAAGTAAATCTCAGGTCTTCATGCAAAAACCAGAAAGTAATCTTTTTCAAAAAGAGCATTGTAAGCATATATCCTATTTTGACAAAATGAAAACGGTCTGAGTTACTTCCCTCACCACTCCAATCATCCAGTTCAGCAGCAGAATACCTAAGGTAGAGATGACAATTCCCAGAGTCACAAGGGACTTGTTGATGTTGGCTCCTTCAATAATCCGGTCCTTACAGTAACTGGGATCTGCTCTTTCACTAAAACACACCAATAACAACAAAAACTAAAGCAAACAAGTCAACTATTCTTACAGCATTGTTGAAGGATACATCATGCTCCAAAAGACCCACATCACACATTACCTTATGTTATACTTTCCCATAACATTATCCTCAACATTTTCTTCTTTCTGGGTACACACTGACTACGTACCCATGCAGATGAGTGTGGTAGCACACACTTGTAATCTTAGCATTCAAGAGGTGAAGGCAGGGAAACTGGGAATTAGAGACCAGTCTGGGCTACATAGCAAGACTTTGTGTTGTGCAATGCCAGTGTAGGTCAGAAGAGGGCATCAGATTCCCCTGAAACTGGAGTTATGGATGGCTGTTAGCCACCATGTGGGTGCTAGGAATTGAACCTGGGTCCTCTACAAGAGCAGCCAGTGCTCTTAACCACTGAGCCATCTTTCTAGCCCCCAAAACAAAATTCTTGAGTCAGCTCCAGGAAAGGGTACCATTTTGTAATGAACTGACCTTCAAGCTTTTCAGGCAACACAAATCAAATAATTCCTTACAGCATTTTTGTTTTTATTTTGGCAGCCAGAGCACTTCAGTCCAAATGCACTGCTTATCTATGTGTAATGGCACTAACTTAGTCCCTTCATGGGAAGAGACTTGTTTGCAATTCACATTTTAATGGTTTAATGATGATTATCTGTATCATTAAACTGTTGATCTCGAATTCTTTTTTTTTTAGTCTCCTTGTAGCCCCAGCTGGCCCAATTCACAATGTAGATCGACTAGCCTTCATCTCACAGAAATTGGCTTGCCTTTGCCTCTGAAATACTAAGAGCAGGCACCATGCCCTTAGTGTTCAAATTCCCTTTTAAAAGTAATGACAGGGGGCTAGAGAGATGACTCAGCGGTTAAGAACACTGCCTGCCTTGCAGAGGACCCGGGTTCAATTCCTAGCACCCACATGGTGGCTACGAACCATCCTTAACTCCAGTTCCAGGGGAATCCGAAGCCCTACTTTCTATTTATTTCAGAAAACACCAACAATTAGCTGGGTGCAAGAGAACATGCCTGTAGTCCTGAACTACTGGACAAGCTGAGGCAAAAGCATTGCTTGAGTTCAGAAATTCAAAGTGAAATCTGGGAAATACAGCAAGACTATCTCTGAAAGTGGTGGCACATGCCTACCATCACAGTACTTGGGATATGGAAGCAGAAGGGTAGAGTGAGCTAAATAATGAGACCCTCTCAGAAAAAAAAAAAAAAAAAAAAAAAAAAAAAAAAAAGTAATGACAAATAACAAAAAAAAGTATGAGTCTGATTGGCTGATATATTTTCAGACAGCAATTAACTGACGGACTGGGGATTGAACCTAGGGTTTGGTACATTATTAGGCAAGTGCTCTACCACTAAACTACTCCCTTAGCCCTCTCACTTAATTCTTAAGGGAATGCTGTTCTCTACTGATTTTTAGCAGATCCAACTTGAGAAAATCAGCCTTATGCTATGATATACTTTCTCATGATGTTATTCTGAAGAGTTTCTTCCTTTTGGATACATATTTGGCTATAAGTCATACTTCCTTTTAATAACTCAAACCAGAGTATCTTTAAAACTTTTTAAAAGTAACATAAAACTGAATAAAATCAATATTAAATCAAAGGAAAATGGTCTATTAACTCACTGTACTAGGTAGAACAGTTGTTTTAATCTTGGGAACACATTGGAATCAATCACATGGGCAGCTTTAAAAAACCCCATAATAAACACCAAGTGTTCTGCTGGTATTAAAAAAAAATAAAACCACAAAAAAAGAAAAAGAAAAAAACAAAACAAAACAACCCAAAACCACCAATGCCTGCCTTTCCTCACCCACACTAATCATCTTATTTATTTGATCTAAGATGTGAGCACTGGGTGTTTTAAAGGATCCCAAAAGCCAGCTCAGGTTACAACCTATGATGTATAGGAACCCTACTACAACTTTCAAGCTAACACTCAATAACTCATTTCTTTTGTAATTTTCTCAGAATGATTAAAATGTAAAGGAAACAAACAAAAAACCATGGGACCATGGCTTTCACATGTAAAACAGAGAAGAAGCAGATCACTGTCAAAGGAGTTTGGTTTTAAAATCCTAATTACCTGCCTGCTAGGTCCACAAGGTTGATCTTGCTAGCAATTTCAGAGGGGAGGTTGTTCTGTAGGACTGCCTAAGGAGAGAGAACATTTAAAGTTGTCATTTGGAATGATTTACATTTTCCCACTTAGGTACCATTCTACCCAAGGTGAAGCTTGGATTTTCATTCAGCTCCCTGGACCAGTCTACACCGTAACATGCTGCTATGGTTTAGCTGAGCATTTACTACCTGTTCATCATCCTTTCATTAAAACCACCAGGGAGATTGGGGCTGGAGAGATGGCTCAGCAGTTAAGAGCAATGTCTGTTCTTTAAAGGATCTAGGTTCAGTTCCTAGCACCCACATGGCTGCTAACAACCATCTGTAACTCCAGTTCCAAGAGATCCAATGTCTTCTTCTACCCTCCTCGGCCACTGCATACATGGATGCACTTACATGTAGGCAAAACACTCATACACATAAAATAAAAACCTTCAAAAAATCAGAAAGACTTACAGAGTAAGTGAGGCAAATTTCCACAGAATCCTCTGAGCAGTTTTCAGGGACACCAGGAATTTTAATGTGACTTATCAAGCAAGCACCCCCTTCAGGGGACTCTGACCCTCTCCAACAAAGAGTCATAGAAGTCTGTGGTGGCCTCTGATGAGGTCTGCTGTTCAGGATAGGTCATAGCATGTTAACTTGCTAGGGCAGGAACTTAGTATCTTCTATTTGGGGGCATCCATCCTCAACAACAAAACTACTTTTCTTTTTTCTTTTTTTTCCTCTTTTCCTAATTCAATGTAGGTTTATTTTATTTAAAAAAAATTAAGGCCAGGAGTGGGGGTACATGCTTTTAGTCCTAGCACTTTGAAGGCAGAGGCAGGTGGATCTCTGTGAGTTCAAGGCCAGTGTGGTCTACATAGTGAGTTCCAGACAGGCTGGCACTACAGGGAGACCCTGTCTCAAAAAGACCAAAAAAATAAAATTTAAGATTTATTTTTTAATTATATGTATACGTGAGTATGAGTGTAGGTGCCGTGGAGGCCAGAAAAGGGCATTGGATCCCTTGGTGCTGGAGGTCCTGGTGGTTGTAAGCCACCTGACATGGGTACTGGGATCCAAACTAGAGTTCTCTGTAAAAGCAGTACATACTCTTAACCACTGAGCTGTCTCTCCAACCCATTTTATAAAATTTTAGTGTTAGGCATCTACACTGGAGAGATGGCTCAACAGTTAAGAGCATTAGCTGCTTTTGTAGAGGACCCAGGGTCAATTCCCTGCATCCACATGGTGGCTAACAACCAAACATAACTCCAAGCCCTCTTCTGACCTCCATAGGCATTGCATGACATGGATGCACTTATATCCATGCAGGCAATACACTCATATACATAAATTAAAAACAATAAATATTTTTTAAAAATATATAGTTTTAGCTGGGTGTGGTGGTATACGCCTTTAATCCCAGCACTCAGGAGGCAGAGGCAGGCAGATCTCTGTGAGTTCCAGGCCAGTAAGGGCTACGCAGTGAGATCCTGTCTACACACACACACATACACACCCAGAGTTTTAGAACATTTCCAGCAACCCAAATTTCCTTTTAGTGTGTTTGCAGTCAATCCCTGCTCCCCTCCCTAGCACCACGTAATCACTCACCAATTTTCTATGCAAATTTGCCCTTTCAGAATATGGCCTATAAAAAGAATCACACAATATCTGGCTTCTTTTCAGTGGACATAATTTTGAAATTCACATATGCTGAAGCTCAGTTTCATGTTTTCTGAGTGCTCTGCTGTGTGGATATATCATGTGTAGATGCATCATGGCTCAAGCGATATAGACATTTGGGCATTTGCAGTTGCTTTATTTGAGCAACTACAAATAAAGCTGCTATAAATATTCTTATATAACCCTCCTATGCACATATGATATCTGGTCTTCTGGTTAAATACTTAGAAGTGGAATGCCTGGAACACGTGTGAAACGTATTAACTTTTTTGTTTGTTTTTGTGACAGGGTCTCATTATGCAGCACTGGTTGGCCTGGAACTCACTATGTAGACAAGGTTGGCCTGGAACTCACAGAGATCCACCTGCCTCTGCCTCCTAGTGCTGAGATTAAAGGCATGCAGCACCACACCAGCCTTTTTTTTTTTTTTCAACTTTTTAAGAAACAACTAGTCTTTTCCAAAGTCATGTCATTTTATACAAGTAATGTAGTATATGAGAACTCCAGTTCCTATACACCTTTGCCAAAATCTAGTGTAAAAACTATTTTATCCAGGTTAAAAGCTGGATAATAGTATCTCCTTAATTTTTCATTTGCATTCCTCTAGTGACATTTTCTCAGCTACTTAATTGCTCTCTTTATATTTCTTTATATTCTGAATACAATTCCTTATCAAGTAAGTTTTCCTAATTTTTTCCTTAAACAAAAACAAAAACCATGATCTTGCCATGTAGCCCAGAATAGCATCAGACTTGAAATCCCCCTGCCTTAGCTTCACAAGTGCAAGCATCACCATTCTCAGCTGTGGCTTATCTGCACCTTTTCTTTTTATTCTTGTCATAGTGTTTCAAAAAGCAGTTTTAAATTTTAACCAGTTACAAAATTTAACGTCCTTTTGCTCAGTTTGTGCTTTCAATGTCATATCTAAAAAAAAAAAAAAAAAAAAAAAAAAAACCTTTACCTAATCAAAGGTCTTAAATGTTCTTCCACTTTACCTACTAACAAGTTTACTAGCTGGAGGTTTTACTTTGGGTCTATGATCCAGTTTGATTGGATTAAGTTCAAGGAGTGGGTCAAAGTTCATTTTCTATAGATATCCAAACATTACACCATCATTTATTGAAAAGATTAAATTTTCTCAAATGAAGTGCCTTTGCAACTCTGTTAAAAATCAGTTACCTGGGGGTGGAAAGATGGCTCACTGGTTCAGTTCCCAGTACCCACACAATTGTCCTTAACTCTAGTTCCAGGGATCAGATGCCCTCTTCTAATGCCCTCTTCTAAGATGCCTTTTTAAAAATTTTTAAAAATACTTTATTATAGTAAAATGCAAACAATAAACTTGTAATTTTAAATGTATAATTCAGTGGCATTAATTACATTCATAGTGTTTTACAACCATTATAACTATCCACTTTCAGAACCTTTTTATTCTTCCAAAAAACTCTGTACAATAACTCCTCTCTTCCACCAGTCCTTAGGTTCTTATATCTGTCTCAATGAATTTGTCTAGTCTAGATACTTTTTGTAAGTATAATAATATAATATCTACCCTCTTACGTCTAGCTCATTTTATGTTTTCAAAGTTCATCATGGGATAACCTGTATTCAAACCTGATTTCCTTTTTTATTTATTTTTTTATCTTTTAACACTTTCTTTTTT